TCTGTTTATTTGTGCATTAAAATAAAAAGTAAAATAACAGCCCATGAACCTTTTCTGACTCAGAGAGACCTACCAGACAGAGCAAAACTGCGCTGCTACATGGAGTCTCCTAAGACTGTGAATCTGTCTACTGCTATCTCTTTCTCCCTCGGAATGTCTGCTAGGTTCAGTCTGCTGACCATTTTGTTAATCCATCATTTAACCTCTTACATCACAAGGGCTGTTTCCTATGTGCATGAGAGACTAGGAAAATTGAAAATGGAGTCACCTGGGAAATTGCTTCCCCAATAATATTAGGCTTCTCTTACCAAGTAAGAAGGGGAAATTTTAATTAGGTCCACATCTAACACCTCTGCCCAGAGTCCAGGTCCCTTGCTACCATCATCAGCAAATGCAGCTTTCAGAATAAAGAACTGGGTCTATCTGAGCTGTGTGTATCATGACCTGCCTAGTTCTCTCTGTGTTCCTCTTCTCCCCAACATAATCAACTAGTCAGGCCAAACCTCATTCGTTACTGTTAGAAAAATGATATGAGTAAGCAAAGCTAACTGTACATTTTTTTCTAACAAATATTCTCTCATAGGTTCCAGAATCTCAGCTTTTGCCAGGACAAAGGTTTCAAACTAAAGGTATGTTTTCATAGCAATATACTTCTTTTTGTTTCTTTTGGTAGAGTTTCTATAAACTAGTTCTTCTGGATATTTACCTTTTTAAAATATAGAACTGGAATTATTTATATTTGTTGGCTCTTGTGTTTTGAGGGGAGTCCTGGTGACATACATATACATAGGGCTGCTAACCACCAGGTCAGCAGTTCAAAACTACCAGCCACTCCACGGGAGAAAGATGAGGCTGTCTACTCCCATAGAGATTTGCAGTCTTGGAAACCCCCAGGGTCACTTCTACCCTGTCCTGCAGGGTTGCTATGAGTCAGAATTGACTCGATGGCAGTGAGTTTTTGTTTGTTTAGTGTTTTGAGCTAGCAAATGTTGTGCACAACATGTGCAGTAACTTGCATTCTGTGGGTGAGTAGGCATCAGCTCCCTGGGGGAGGAACTGCGCTATCATTCTAACCGCCCTCCCTTGCTTAGTGCTTTGTCTTGCTCTTTCGGCCTAATGATGATTCATTGAAGTGTAACTGCTGATGGATTCTTAAAAGTCTTGGCTGTGATTTTTGTTTTAGATCCAGAGGAGCAAGGAGACATTGTGGTGGCCTTGTACCCCTATGATGGCATCCACCCAGACGACTTGTCCTTCAAGAAAGGAGAGAAAATGAAAGTCTTAGAGGAGTGAGTACACTCGAGTACCCTGCTGCAATCCCACTTTATTTCTTGGGCTGCTGGTGTCCTGTCGACTCCCTGGCTCCCCACATTTAGCTTCCAGGAAAATAGGGATGGCCAGACCCCCTCTGGCCATGGCCATACAGCCTCCTGACCCTGGTTGCCACTAGAACACAGAGAGTGAAAGGATAGGGTCAAAGGAATGTTCCTTTTAAATCTGGCTGTGAACTCTCTCTGGAAGCTTCGCTTTGAAGGTTTCTTTGTTTATTTGGCTGTTGCCCTTAAAGAGTTTGGGGTCTTTCTGGGTGGATTTTGCATTTCAAAATCTAAACGATTCCTTCAAAAAGATCAAGTGCCATTTTTATTTTGTTATTTTGCTGACATTCAAATTGGGTTTAGAGACTCAACTTGGTTTGGTGTGTGACGGTCATGGTCAAGCCCCTCTTAGCAATCACAGCCTTTCTGTAATGCCATGATGATGTCATCTCCTTGACACAAGCACACTTCACCCCCACCACCATCGTCCTTGCTCACTCAGACACCTGGCTATTGCCCCACCATGGGGTCAAAAGAGGACTCGACATCAGGAATGGCAAATGTTTTCATGCTTTTTTTTCTGCATAAGTTGTCATCTTAGCCTGTCCAATAGGACAAGAGGAGGGGCGCCTGCTCACAAAGTATAAGGTGCGGAGGTCTAAGAGCTGTGTAGTTTGAAGATTGAGCATTCATGTAAGCCTAAATTAAGATTAAATGTACAAAGATACACATATAAATGTAAGACTTCCTGGCATACAGTAGGCAATAGCTAAGTGCCAAGGAGCCCTGCTAGCCTGATAGGTACGTGCTCAACTACTAATCTATACGTGAGCTGTTAGAACCTGCCAGTGCCTCTGCGAGAGAAAGCTGTCAACATGCCTCCCAAAGATTACCCACATTTTTTTCCTTAAATCCGTAGTCATTAAGTCTATTCTGACTCCTGGTGCCCTTATAGGGCAGAATAGAACTGCCCCGGAAGGGTCCCCAGGCTGTTGGTTAGCAGTGCTTTAACCCCTGCACCTCTGTAAAGGCTCTGCTCTAAAGACTGCAGGCGAGGAGGCTCTCTCAGAGGGCCGCTGTAGGTCGGAATTGACTCGAAAGTACCTAATAGCAGCAGCTAAGTGTAGACAGTGGACTTGCATCGCTGGTGGATACAGGGTTTCAGCTTTGGTTCACCCGGAGGCTCCCCAAAAGAAAGACCTGACATCTACGGTTCTAAAAGCAGCCACTGACTAGCCCAACGAAACACAGCTCTATTCCAATACACATGATGTTGCCATGAAGAATCCCTGGAGAGCTTAATGGTAGTTGCAACTCTCCTGCATGCCTGGTAGGTAAGAACCATCTGTGAGAATTCAAAGAGGAATGTAGTGGAGCCTCCTGGGACCCATTCCATTGCTGCTTTGCTCACTGACCCAACCGCGCCGTCCACTGCTGATCCCCACCACCGTCTCCTTGGCCTCTTTTGAGGGCTAGACCATGGGGATGCACCTCTCATGGTTTTTCTTTTATTTCTTCTTCTTCAGCTTTCTTTGGAAACAGGGTGTTTTAACAAAGGAGTTTATAACCCTTAAATTATGACCCATGATTTCCTTTCCATTTCTGCATGGATACAAAACTATTTCTTAGACACACTGAAAGAAATTGCAAATGTCTCGCTTCTAGAAGATAGGAACCATTTCTACCAACTTTTACTTTATGTCGCACTAAGCACACTGAACCATACTTAAATTGCAAGACTGTTCTCATTTACTTAAGTCTCTAAGCATTCTTATTTTGGCAAGAGGAGTATTTTCCTGTGGACTCTGAATTTCCAGGGATCTACCCCACCTTCCCCTCCATGCCCTCAAACAAACATAAACTTTAAGACAATAGCTATTGTAACTCTTGAGTGCTGGTTATAAATACCTTTTCATGTGTGTTTCTATTTCAGGCATGGAGAGTGGTGGAAAGCAAAATCCCTTTCAACCAAGCGAGAAGGCTTCATCCCCAGCAATTACGTAGCCAAAGTCAACACGTTAGAGACAGAAGAGTGAGTTCTCAATTCTGTCCTCTCCAAAGGATTGTCTGCTCTGAAGACATTTGGATGTCACGTGGATTCTTCCTCCTTCCCTCCCCTGGAACATCAGACTAATCAAGTGTAAAAAATGTCTTTGCAGGTGGTTTTTCAAGGATATAACCAGGAAAGATGCCGAACGGCAGCTCTTGGCTCCAGGAAATAGTGCGGGAGCCTTTCTTATCAGAGAAAGTGAGACGTTGAAAGGTAGGAAATCGTGCAAGGCATCTTATGGAATGCTCTTTAGAAAGTCCTGCTCAGAACCAGTTCTAGAATTACTCCAATAAAGAATATGTTCTGTTCTGGTCATGAAAGTTTTCAGAGCTTGTGTATTACACTGAAAGTAACATAGAAAGCAGGCCGAATTGTGGCATTTCATACCATTCTTTTACGTTTGTTGAGCCGCTTGCATTGTTATGTAGAATAAATCCTGCATTGTAGGAGAAAGAAAATCAAAACAACCTTATGGATGACTAAATAATTAAAAATAAAATAAAGACAGGAAATGGCATGTTGGCAAGCTGCTTAGAAAACAAAACTGCTAACTCCACTTGTCAACTAGAATTTTTCTGGAAGTTAAAAAATCATGTATTACATAGAAGGATTCAAAGAGTTCATGGACACAATTGAATTAAAAGATAATAGAATTCTCTCAAGAATTTGTAAGCCCCTTTATATATACTTAATTTATATGTTTTTTGTGCTTAGGTGTTTTGCAAGCTGTCTAGCACCATACTGTATAATGCAGATTTCTCTTGTAAGAAATATAAGTAGGGCAATGAATGTACAAATGTGCTTTACACAATTGATGTATGTATGGATTGTGATAAGAGTTGTATGAGCCCCTAATAAAAGGATTTAAAAAAAAAAGAAATATAAGTAAGTTTTACTTAAACTCTTTCTCTTGCAGGAAGTTTCTCTCTGTCTGTCCGGGATTATGACCCTATGCAAGGTGATGTTATTAAGCACTACAAAATTAGAAGTCTGGACAATGGAGGTTATTATATCTCTCCACGAATCACTTTCTCCAGTATCAGTGACATGATTAAGCATTATCAGAGTAAGTAAAAACTTCTGGTTATGTCAAAATAAGATGCATTTATTATGATAAGGGCATACTAGCAGCAGCACTGAGCCCACACATTGCCAGTGATCACGAGAACCATGCAGGACTAGATAGGCAATTTTTTGTTCTTTTTGTACATAAGAGTGTCATGACCAGAGCTGACTTCAATGGCAACTAATCATAGCGACGTGCGGCACTATGTTGAAGCCATTACATGTTGATAAAACTGCAACATGATTTCCTCTTAAATAGAAGTAAGATTTGACCCTTGAGAATAATGATCCCAGGCCTTCCCATCCAATTCATGCTGTTGGAGAATTAACAGTCAGATAACACTCTGGTAGGCTGACTCGTCTTTGGATTCATTCCCCGTGTGGTTGAAATTGGTAGCAGTAGGCAACTATTGGTACTGCTTATTTCTACCACTTGCTTTCAAGGAATGAGCCTTACATGCTTATGTAAAATTGGGTCATCGACCTGCAGAGAGCGTGATGGTGCCCCAGAATGTGTGGGTTCCTCTCAAACCCTCTGCCACTCATTTACCCCTTCAGCACATGTGTTGGGCACTTATTGGATTCTGCTCTTGTCCTGGGGGCCAGGTATCTTAGTGCCCAGGCTAAGTCCCTGCTGTTGTGCCTTCTGGAACTGGCATGGATACAGCAAACAAAGCTATATGGTCTTTGATTGTTCACTTCATAGCTTTTCTGTCATAAACCAATTCAACCGGGTGCTGTGAGATCAGTTTCCACTCACGGTGATCCCTTGCAGAACAGAGTGGGAAACCCTGTTCCACAGGATTGTCAAAGCTATGACCATTTGGCAGCAGGCTCTCAGGCATTTCCTATTTTCATTCTTCTCCCCCACATCCTGCCCCACGCAACCATTTTACCGGGAGCTAATACAGATATCGCATCATGCCATAGTTCAATCACATCAAGCAGTATGGTACAATTGCTACCGCCATCAATTTCAAAACATTCTTTTCCTTCTTGAACTCCTTGGCATCAGCTCCCTTTTACACCTCCACCACCACCACTACTGTCCCCCCACCCCCACCCCCACCACTCAGACCCTAATTGTACTTGCTGTCCCTATAGGTTTATTAACCTTGGGTTTCATATACTGAAAAACTGAAAAGCATATCTCAAAAATTTAAGAGGGTGACCCCCAATGACACAACACATCTGAGATAAACCCCAATACGAACAAACAAACAAAATACAGAAAATGTTGAAAACCAGATCAGGTCCAAGGTGCTCTGGAGCGGGCATCAACGGACAAGGTTTTCTCCGTTCGAGTCAGGTTTACCCTTCTGATCTTCTATCGTCATCTCTCAGGGCACTCTGCTTAATGACCACTTTCCTCCCATCCCTCTGTTATGCTAAAGGGAGATCAGCGGAGGCTTGTTCCTTATATACTTCCAAAAATGTTCCTTGGGCTCCCAATGTCAACCAGAGCCTTCTGCAAGCCAGCTTCTCCCAATTCAGGCTCTGATACTAGTCCCTCCTTTGACTTCAGATTATATGATTCACAGTCTTTCCGTCACTGAGGGTGGCGTGCTTCTTCCACGTGCACTTAGTTGACATCTCACTTGGATGGCTGCTTGCTGGAGACAAGGCTTTCAGGCCCCAGAGGCTATTTTATCTGATGCCAGGCCTTTCTTTTTAGGCATCGCTCAGTAGGTTCGAATTGCCAGCCTTTAAGATACCAGGTGAGCACTTAGCCATTTGCTCCACCAAGGGATTCCCTTGCATTAGCACTTCTAAAAGTTGGCCTTATTGTGCATTTTAAACTGTCTTTTCATTGAAGAAGTTTAAGTTAGGTAAAAGATACCCAGAGGCATTGTAGGTTCACAGACTGTCGCAGGGTGGAAATGATAAGATTAGCTATCCAAATGTGTCTCTATAGACTGGTAAAATTAAAAAACAGTACTTTTTGTTCTATTTCAAGCTATGTGTTAACCTTCATTTTCCCTTCCACACTAGAACAATCTGATGGCTTGTGCAGAAGATTGGAGAAGGCCTGCATTAGTCCTAGACCACAGAAACCATGGGATAAAGATGCCTGGGAGATTCCACGGGAGTCCATTAAGTTGGTGAAGAGGCTGGGCGCTGGCCAGTTTGGAGAAGTCTGGATGGGTGAGTGTGGCCCTGTAAGGATGTCTGCTTTGGAGGCAGCAACAGGAGAATAAAGGGCATAGGCCTATTTCTGCCCATTTTCTCCCCAGTACTGAATGGATCGGAATCATCACTTCTTCTGCTTCTTTCTGTACAACACCTGACCTACAAATGTATTTCACAAGCCAAAGTGCTTTGACTATTCCCTTCCCTTGTGGCGTTTAGAGTGAACATTTTTAAGGAGAGGACTAGCCAAAACCAAGCCCACTGCCATCCGGTGAATTCTGAGTCATGGTGATGCTATATAGGGTTTCCAAAGTAGTCAGTCTTTTCAGGAGCAGACAGCCTCATTGTTCTCCTCTGAAACAGCTATATGTTCAGACTACTGACCTTGGAGTTAGCAGCCCATCACATAACCCACTGCACTACCATGGAGGGGGGTTTATCCTCGTGGTCCTGTGTCCTCTCTTATCGTTCTCCCCTTACCTCATTCTCGGACACATACGAACAACTGCAGAACATTGACTTCCATCTCTTGGAATGGTGCCCTGGCGTTTAAGACCCGCCTCCACTTAAAAGGTGCACTAGGATTAAGAGGAAGCTTCATATTTATTACAATATGAGGGCTGCCAAGAAAATTCTTATAAATGTTAAGAGCTCCAACCATTAGTGAACCACTCCTCAGTGTAAGTATTGGCTTCTTTTGTTGGCAAAAGCAGTGCACAAAGATTGTAGTACTGGTTTTCTTTAGGGCGGTGCTATGCTCAACTGTCTTTTTTTTTTTTTTTTTAATTGGGGGCTCCTACAGCTCTTA